TAATAATAATAATAATAATAATAATAATAATAATAATAATAATAATAGGCTTTACTTGTGGAAAGCTGACAAAGAAGATTGTAAATATAATGATGCAACTGCAGGACACTAATTGTGAGCCAGTTGCCAGGCACCAGAATCATGATCATGTGATTACAGGGATGCTTCAACAGCAACAATTCTGAGGACCTGTCATAATTTCTTCTTGTTCAGTGCCATCATCACTTTGAACTTGCTAACCTAAGGATTACCTGTATTGCTCTGTAGAAGAGATTATTTATCCATAATGCATGTATAGCTTACTAACCTTTGCATTGCAAATCCTCCATATGTATATGAGACGGCATCATTCTGCTTTAAATCACTATCATCTATGTACATTTCATTTATATTGCTATTTGGAACAATGGTTTGTTCCATACTTAACAATCAAAATAAAGTGGACAACAAGTACCCCTAAATCTAAGGAGAGGGAGCAGTGGCTCTATACAAGAAACCATCCCCTCCTCCAGTAATTCTTAGCAAACAGTCATTTGTGGGGGTTTCCAAATTATTAACCAGAGATGTCATCAAACCATCTACAGATATTGGTTGCTAAGGACCCCTCTTTCTTTAAAACAATATCCCTGGCATTCAGTAAGTTTCAGTTATGACCAAATCATGACAATATGTGCTACCTAGCCATTTCCAAGTGTTATTGTTTCAATTCCCTGTCTCTGAAGAAAAATATTAGAAGACGGCAAAACTACATAGCCACGTGGAAGTTTGGCATAGACCCAAATCCATTTCCTGCCATTCTTGTGGCTGTTGGCAAGTTTGTAGAGATATGGGGTAGTATATCTTCATGTCTGTGACTCTCCTACGGTAATATTTACTCATTCAAATACTTTTGGGCATTTCAGCCTCATGTCGGACTGTTATTGCTAAAACCTAAAGACCTATTGGTGGCCACCTGATGGCAATTTATGGTGGCAGCAGAATAAGTAGATGATACTCCACAACCAATGAGGACAAATAGAAGCCCAGCTCTGGTGGCCTAGAGGTCAAGCTCTTGCCTCGCAATCAGGAGGCTGTGAGTTCAATCCTGGGTAGAGGCTAATATTTGGAATAGACTCTCCTGCTTGAGCAGGGGGTTGGACTGGATGACCTCCAAGGTCCCTTCCAACTCTGTTGTTCCATGATTAACTATGAAAAGGAGGAATAGCCAATAGACTATGGATGACCATAGCTCTCTTAGGTTCGGCCCTTAATTTCTGAGTTTTTTCTGTAATGTTTTTAGGAATTTACTTTTCAAATGGTTCAGATTTCCCAGTTTAAACCCATTCAAAGAAAATGTCTATGGAGCTTCTCAGTCATCCAAGTCATTGCTATCCCAAAGGTGCTTTTTTAAGAGGCAACTGGACTTTCTTTGTATTTCTTTGAAGAAGTTTCACTTCTCATCTTCAAAGAAAAACCAGAAAGTTGGCTTCCGGTTTGAAGTCTCTTCGGCAACAGACAGAAATCCATGATCGTGCGCAGTTTCGTCTGGGCTCGCCGCTGGAGTGCCCCGAGCCGGCTGGTTTCGGGGCTAAGCCACCCCGTAGAGGTGGTGAAGAGGGGGTAGACTGCCAGCAGGGTTGAGGAGAGCCGCATCTCTCCTCCTCGGCTGGCCATTATTCCCTTTCCCGAAGGCAGTTGCAGCGGTGGTCAGAAATGGCCACCACAAAGAAGAACTCGACTGGAAAATAATGTGCAGGAGGAAGATAAGAAGTGAAAGTTTTGGCTGACCGGGTTAAATTGTAAAAGCAACAACTAAGGTACCCTGGAATTTAAACTTACAAAAAAAAAACATCGCTCCCAAAGAAGAGTCAGAAGCAGCGAAGGAAAGTGAAAAGGGAAAGGTTTGGGTTTTTTTTCTTCTCTCCCCTTCCCTATACTGACAACTAAGAGACTTAAATAAGAAATCGGAAAAATCCGCTTTGACATCAACAGGCAATTAAACTGAAAATAAAGCAAAATGTCAAAGGGATAATAAAGATTTCTGGACACTAAAAAAATTTTTTCATAAGCAGGAAGGGAGAGAAAAAGAATAAGGGCAGGATCTAGAAGAGGGAGGAGACTGCCTGGAATTAAAAAGAATCTACAGTAAAACTTCAACAAGACTTCTAAAAGATACATTTTAACTGAAACTTTGTAACTAAACAGTAACCCCAGGAAGAGAAAGTGAAAAAAAAAGAGCAAAAAGAAACAGCTTCTGTGTATTTGGATTATTTGGTGATCTTTGGATTCTTGGTTATTACATTTGAATGACTAAAATTAATCGGGTGGTTGTTTAAAAATTTATACAATGGCACTACTTCTGGATGAATTGAAAATGGAACTTAAAAAGTACAAAGAAGATGCACAAGAAGGGAAGGGTTCTTTTGGCTTCGTTTTTCAATTCTTAGAAATGGAGATTTGGAACTATGAGAAACAATAAGAAACGTCTGCAAAACAAGAAGACTGGGACAAAGAAGAAGCCATCTTTAATGAACAAGTAATTTTATGTGGGGAAGAAAAAGGAAAGGGGGGAAAGAGAATGGAGAATTTAAGACTTAAAAAAACAACCAAAGAAAAGAAAAACAATTCAAAAAATAAGTATAATACTGGAAAGCAACAGAAAAGGGGAATACAGAAGAGAGAAATGGAGGTAGAGAGGCAGGGGAGTAAAAAGGGGAGAGAGAAGAAGAGAGGGAAGAAGGAAGGAAAAGAAGTTACAAAGGACTGGAGCAAGATATAGAGAAACAGGACCTATTTAGAGATAATGGGTGAAAATCTAACTGAAAAAGGGATTCTGTAAAGGTACATAAGATTGTATTGTTATATTAGTAATAGAAATAACTTTAGAAAATTGGAAACAATGTATGATTAAAATGAGGGATAAAATAGTTAGTGTAATTTAGTTAAATGTTTGTGAATAAAATAAGTGAAATAAAATAAATGAGAAAATTGAATTAGGAAGGAACGGGAACATTTTAATTAGTTAATGTTTTATAAAATATAAGTGAAGAGGGGGGGAATTAATTATGGAAAGCTTATAATTGTTCCCATAGAAGTATGATATTTAATTGAAAAGTAATGTTAAAGATGTTAAGATTTTAATGAATATTAATATTAATGATAGAATTGAATTGGAATGGAATGTGTTGTTTTAATCACATACATTTATATATTTTTTCTTTTTTTAAGAATATAGTGTGTATTTTAAGAATGCACCAAGCAGAATCCGAATGGAAGTTATGTATTATATTGAATGTTATAACTTTAGGGTATATACTGAAGCCTAAATAAAAGTTAAATGGATAAACTTAAAAGATATAAAGGCGTCATACTCCAATCAGTAACTACAGGAGAAATTTTGTTTAATGAGAAAAGATAATAGATAATTGAAACAGGACAGACAAAAAATATAAATATAATGATTTGAATTGAGATGAGATAATTAAAATAAAATTGAGAAAATTAAAAGAGGGGAGAAACTATGCAGAAAATGTAAAACAGTAATAAGATATGGAATAGAACATAAAAATGAGCATGAAGTTGAATTTGTGTCTGTACGGAGAAATGTAAACCGGGATTATGCTACTTTCAAAAAAGATGTTTTATTTGTATTTTTTTTTCTTTGTGAAAACTCAAATAAAATTTACAAAAAAAAAGAAAGAAAGAAAAAAAACCAGAAAGTCCAGTTGCCTGTTCAAAAAGCACCTTTGGGACATTCAAAGAAAATCATATATAAGTTATTTTTGCACATATTGTTTGGATTGCAATTCTTGAGCAGACATATCTCCATAACTCCCCTGCTCCAGTTCTTTCCTCCTGCAAGAATATAGCTTGGGAGGACATGCCCTACATTACCATCTTTGATTGGCAGATTCATCACACCCTGGTAGGGAAGAGTAACAAATGTGAAACTAGCCCTTTCTTTTAATGGATGAACAAAAACCTTCATTCTGTAGATTAGTTGTTGCATTAAAAGGGAATTTGGAAAAGCTGAGAGAGAGAAAAAGAAGGAGGGAGAGTGATGGTGGTCTATTGCCAACAAATGCTTCCTCTACAAAAATTTTCTACTTTCGTGTGTTATGAAACAGCTCACGTTAATTTTTCCTTTCTGTTCCGCTGTTATTGAAGGGGACCGTTATTGTGAGTGATTTACGCTCTGTTCTTCTGGATCCTGAAGAATGGGAGACACCTGAAGAATTCAACCCAAATCACTTTTTAGACAAAGATGGGAAATTTCAGACTCGAGAAGCATTTATGCCATTTGGCGCAGGTAAATCCAACTATTCAAGGCAGTGTGTGATTTATAGGCAATTTGTAATGTTTTCCCGGAAATTTAAAACCACTCTTTTCCATTTCATTGACTGCCAAAACCTGAAACTATTGTCTGATCTTAATCTCTATTTCTTCTAGTTTGAGATGTGATTGAAGTTTCTATTAGCTTTACATTGTGGACATGTGAATAGCTTGCTGCAAAGAATGACATTACCTGGACAATACATGTACTGGGTGAAATCATTGTGGCCAGAAACTAGAGCAAAGTTGACCTGTTCCAAATAGAATCCAAAAACCATGATTGCTTGGTCTGAAAAAGACTCCTGGAGTGTGTTATTCCACTGTATTTGATCTAATTTAACCAATGTTGCTTTATCCTGTGATTCAGAATGTTAAATGTTAATATCTTTTGAATTCATTTGTCTAGGCCAGTACAACAGCAGAAACTGCTAGACTAACCCAGCAGACTGGATTACACTGGTGCTTTTGTGGCTCACAAGTGGTGGCCTGGTAAACTGCCCAATTATCTGAGTGCCTCTGATGAACTCTGATCCTAGAAAGAGTGCAGAGAAGAGCAACAAAGATGATAAAGTGTCTGGAGGCTAAATCCCATGATGAATGGTTAAGAGCAGTGGCCCCCAACCTTTTTTGTGCCACGGCCCGGTACCGGCATCACAAAATGATCCGCGGCCCGGTACCGGCATCAGCACACGTGGCAAGGCGAGCCGAGCGACCAGCCAGCCAGCCGTCCCCCGCTTCTCCCCGCCACCTTCAACTCCTCCTTTGTACCTTTGTCGATGGGCTTTGGGGTGGCTTCGGGACGGTCGCTCGGCTCGCCTTGCCTTGGGTGCTGAAAGAATCCTCACGCCTTAGTTTTGTTCGAAGCCGCCCCCCCTCCCTTCGATGAAACTAAGGCGCAAGGATTCCTTCAGGACCCAAACGCCACTTTCCAACCGGAAAAGCTCACCGGAAGCACTTTCTCATCAAAACAAGATGGCGGCGCCCAGCAAACCGGCGGCCCGGTAGAAAATGTTCCACGGACCGGTACTGGTCCGGGGCCCGGTGGTTGGGGACCCCTGGTTAAGAGAACTGGGCATGTCTAGCCTGATGAAGAGAAGAATTAGGGGGAACATGATAGCTGTATTCTGGTATTTGAGGGACTGTCACAGAGAAACACCTGAGGGTAGGACAAGAAGCAATAAGCAGAAGCTCGTTGAAGAGAGAGCCAACTTGGAACTAAGGAGAAACTTCCTGACAATGAAAACAATTAATCAAGGGAATAGCTTGCCTCCTAGAGTTGTGTGTGCTCCATCAACGGAGGTTTTCAAGAAAAGATGGACAACCATTTATCCAGGTGACTGGAAAAGAAGATCTCCAATGTCCCTTCAGCCCATGATTTTATGATTTGTTGCTTCTTAAAACAGCCCCTTTTTCGTTTGAAAGGAAACTTTCTCACCAATCTAAAACTCTTTTTTACCTACAAATAATAATTTCCCCCCCTTACATTTGTTTCTACTTGGTTTGTGAGTTTAATGTCATTAAAAAAAATCTTAGATTAGGAGCCGATGATGAGAGGGTCAGGAGAAAAAGCAGGTGCCTCTTCCTGAATCTGAATTTGTGACAAATGTTGGAAGGGCTGATCTAGAGAAACTAGCAAATTGGTATCTTCCCAGAGCCTACCAATCCAAGAACAGTATGAGATGGAAATATGTAATAATATATCTCAAGACCAAATAGCTTGTGTTGGTGACTCACAGAAAGCCATTGTCTCTCAAGAAAAGCAAAATACCAACATATTTTGATCTGATGACCAGATCTTTCATATCCCACCTCTGCTAGCTAATATTGCCTTCCCTTCAGTAGCACGACTGAATGAGGATTATTTTATATAGCAATTCAGTGGAAACTCAGGAAAAGCTGTAGTCTAGCACATCTCTTTCCCTTTGCATCTCTCTAAACTGCCTAAAACCATAGAAATACAGTAAGTGATCGGAAAAGACTTCAAAGATCTTCAACTCCAATACCCTATCCAAAAATGGGATCTTCAAATGATCCAACTCAAAGTGCTACCCAACTTTTTCTTGAAAACTGATGGATTATCCATGACTCCAGGAGGCAGGCTGTTCAACTGTTAAATAGCTCTTGGAATCAGGAAATTATTCCTTGTTTTTAGTTTGGATCTTTTTGTGTAAAACGTCTGCCAGGTTTCTTGTCCAATCCTGAGGAATTTTGAAGAATCCACATCCCGGACAGGCCTTCAAATATTAGATGATTGCTAATGGAATGATGGTCTCTCTCAGCTTTTTCTTCTTTATGCTAATTACAATCAGTTCCTTTAAGTTTTTTTTTTTTCATGGGATTAACCTCCAAATTTCTCATCATTTTTCCCCCTGCCCTTCTTCCAGTTCCTCAGTATCTTTCTTGTATTGTGGCAACCAAAACTGGAAATAATGGTCCAGATGTGGTTTGACCTGTTCAGTGTAGAGTGGAAATATTACTTCCCATGATCTTGACATCACACCTCTCCCGATGCAGCTCAGGTTTGCACTGGCTTTTTGGCAGCTGCAGTACACAGCTGGTATGTAAACCTGTGGCCAGAATACCCAAATTCTTCATAAAAGTACTGCTACAAAGTTAGTTCTTTTTCCAGTTCTTATTTTTTTTTTTATTTATTTGATTTGCCAATTGTTTACAAGATAATAAGTATAAGTGTATACATAGTTGTGAATACATGAAATGGGTACATATAAGAAAAATAAAAGAAGAATAAGAGAAACAATAGGACAGGGACGGTAGGCACGTTGGTGCGCTTATGCACGCCCCCTACAGACCTCTTAGGAAAGGGGTGAGGTCAATAGTAGACAGTCTAAGGTTAAAGTTTTTGGGGTTTGGGGAAGAAACTACAGAGTCGGGTAGAGTATTCCAGACATTGACCACTCTATTGCTGAAGTCGTATTTCCTGCAATCAAGTTTGGTGCGGTTAACTTTGAGTTTGTATCTATTGTGTGCTCTTGTGTTGTTATGGTTGAAGCTGAAGTATTCATTGACAGGTAGGACATTGCAATGTATGATTTTATATACCATGCTTAAATCAGACCGAAGACGGCGTAATTCAAGGTTTTCTAGTTCTAGAATTTCAAGTCTGGTGGCATAAGGTATTCTACAACGAGTAGAGGAGTGGAGAACTCTTCTTGTGAAATATTTCTGGACTTTCTCAATTGTGCTAATATCAGATACGTAATGTGGGTTCCAGACTGATGAACTGTATTCGAGTATTGGTCTAGCAAATGTTTTGTATGCTCTGGTTAGTAGTGTGATATTACCAGAGAAAAAGCTACGTAGGATTAGGTTAACAACTCTTAATGCCTTTTTGGCTATGTAGTTGCAGTGGGCTCTAGCACTTAGATCATTAGAGGTGAGTATTCCAAGGTCCTTTACAGAGCTTGGGTCATCAACAAGATCTTGACTATTCAGCTTGTATTTTATTTTCTGATTTTTTTTGCCAATATGTAAGACAGAGCATTTATTTGTTGAGATTTGAAGTTGCCATTTGTTTGACCATTCTGATACATAGTCAAGATCTTTTTGTAGGGCAGCAGTATTGTCTGTGGTATTGAACAGCTTTACATCATCAGCGAAAAGAACGCTGTTGTGAGGTTGGTCAACTTGAAGGAAAACTATGAGGTATGGGGACAGTTCTCCCTCATCACAGTTGCTTTGCTGAACAATAGGACTAGCTGAGACCACAGAGGCTCCTAGAAATAAATGGCTTAGATCTTTTGAGGGGTTTGTATAATTTTGCAATAAAGTATGCATCAATTAATCACACATACAAAGCCAAATTTGACAATGTTGTGTACTGCATTTGCAAAGTTTTTGAACCAAAATTTCCAGACAGCAAACATTTCAGCCTCCCAGATTTATAGAAGAGAAAATGTGTCCTATGTTATTTGGACCATTTAAACATTTTATTTTATTTGTTTTTTTTTTATTTATTTGATTTGTAATACCTTACAAGATAATAGGTATAAGTATAAACATAGTTATGAATACATGAAATGGATACATATAAGAAAAACAAAAAGAAACAATAGGACAGGGACGGTAAGCACGTTGGTGCGCTTATGCATGCCCCCTACAGACCACTTAGGAAAGGGGTGAAGTCAATAGTAAACAGTCTAAGGTTAAAGTTTTTGGGATTTGGGGAAAAAACCACAGAGTCAGGTAGGGTATTCCAGACATTGACCACTCTGTTGCTGAAGTCGTATTTCCTGCAATCAAGTTTACTGAGATACCATGAGCATGTCTTGGGGGGGAGAATGTCCTGCTTTGAAATGCTTTCTCCAATTCAGCAAAACGTCAGGATATCCTTAACAAATGCTCATCACTTGTTTACTACAGATTCATCTTGGAGCCAAAGTGGTATTTCAGTACAGATTATTTTCCATTTTCTGTCCTTCCCATGTCTCTTCCATAGGGCAACGTGTCTGTTTAGGAGAAAAGTTGTCAAGAATTGAGATGTTCATCATACTAACCAACCTGCTGAGGACTTTCCATTTCCAGCCGCCCGAAGGAGTGAAAAAGCTTGATGAGAAACCTATAATAAGTATGGGATTAACTCCACATCCTTTTAAAATCTGTGCTGTTCCATATTACACATCATAAAATCCATTAATTGAGTATTAGTATCTTCCATTTTAACAATACTTGAACTTTTTCCCTTAATATTTATACCCTGTTTTGAAACTCATTCATTTTGTTATATGCTGAAACTACTTTATCCAAATGGCTGCTTACATACAATCAACTAAGCTCCTTCAGGTTTGCCTTTGGTTATGCTTTCTGTAAAAAATAAATATCTTGATTTCAATATACACACTTTCAGTTGTGGGGTAAATCAATTTTCAGTTGAATGGCACAGTTTAAAACAAACTGAAACAGAAAGAATTGGCCTTGCAATGTCTAGCTCACAGGAACCTGTTGTAAGTTTATCTCAGAACATTTCCTGAATCTCAAGATGTAAATGTTTCTTTCTTCACTAAGGTTTTTTTTTTTCAGAGTAGGAAGTAACCAGAAACATATTATGTTGTTATGAATGTGTATTATTTGCACATAAATATTTGTACAAAATTTTCTCCATCTTTCTGAACTGTATAAATATGTGCATTTCTTTGATGGCAAGGTATCTCACTTTGCTAACTCTGTTATTCTATGAAGACATTCCCACCTCCCAATGCATTTAATAAACATGGGCCTTGATCATTACTTTGTGGTCCGTCGTTTTCATTCCACATACTTATGTGTGTACTTTCTTCTCAGAGGTGTAGTCTGACCATGCAGCGTAGAGTGAAACTATCACTTCTCGTGAACTCAACATCATACCTCTGTTCATCCAGCCCAAGATGAGAAATATTTTAAAATTACAGGAATAAACAGGAGTAACCCTCACTATACTGATGACACTGCCATGAATAGCTGACAATATAAAAAACCTGGATGCTCTGCCACTGAAAGTCAACACAATGAAACAACAAGACTATGATTAAATAAAAAGATCAAACGAATAACAATAGTTTCAGCAATTAGCCTTAGCATCAATAAGTGATTGACAGCTTCTGCCTTTTCTGATCTAGTATATTTTATGATCTAAGATAACAGTAAAGGAATCAGAAGACAAAAATATATTCTGCAGACTTGCACTTAATAGGCTACCAATGAAGTACTAGGAGAAGATATTCAGATACCATATTTTTATAATTACAAAACTCTGGTTTTCCCTGTCGCACTCTGGAAGTGAAACTCTGGCCTTTGAAGAAGCAGGATAGAAAGAATATTGCTGGTTCTGATATTTTGTGTGATGAGTAGGAAAAGGACAACCAGTAACAAAGTACATGGGCACAATTAGAGAGAAAAGGGATCACCATTGGAGGATCTGAAGTGCCAGATTGGGGACAGATCAGAATAACAGAATAACAGAGTTGGAAGGGATCCTGGAGGTCTTCTAGTCCAACCTCCTGCTTAGGCAGGAAATCCTAAACCATTTGGGACGAATGGTTATCCAAATGGTTCTCCAGATCACTCTGGAGAAGCTCTGTATATCTGGTTACCAAGAATCAACCTTAATTTGATGGCACATCATAATGATAATTGATCTTTAGACTTACATATATATTATACTTTGTGTGTGTGTGTGTGTGTGTGTGTGTGTGTGTGTGTGTGTGTGATCTACACATATATTAAAATGCTATAAGAAGTAAGAGATGCCTATGTGAAATTGTTCCCAATTTCAGAATGTAAAAATAAGGTATCATTACCTTTAGCCTTGCTTGTATGGGCTAAGACCAAATATATATAAGATACATCCAACATTCAGTATGAGCACAGGATTGAACCAAAACATGAGGGAAATAGTCTTCAAATATTTGTGGTCAGTGTTGACTATAAACAGCTTGCTATATAAATGTAAATAGCCACCAACGACAACAGTAACTGCATCCACATTTGATTCAACTTTACTGGCATAAGCCCATCCTACTCAATCTATAGCCCTTGGTTGATGGACATGGCATCTACAATAATTTATATATTCAAGCACAGTATTGAGACCACTCATTTGCACCATCCAATAGTTGCCATATGTGTGGGAATAAACTTTGACCTGAGCTTGAGCAATGATTAATATAATGCTTTATACATACATGCCTGTCTAAAGGTTACTAAGGTAATGCAAAGAAAAGAGAACAATAAGGACAAATACAAACAAGGAGGCAACTTAAACAACTGCAAACAAGCCTTTACTATATCTAATTATTAAGCCACGATGTAATTATGCTGACTATGTACTAAATCTCAATAAAAGGAAGCACTAGAAATTATTCTGGGCTTCCATCCCAAGTACACACGTTTGTGTCTCATTCTTTCCATGGGAGACCACCACACATATGTGTCCAAAGAGTGATCAACTGCAATATATCAAACTAAGAATACTTTGAAGTTGGAATTTGAGCTTCTCCCTGACATCCCAGAATTCATATCCAAGTATGCCTTTTCTCCCTTCATCCCAGAATTCCTCATAGCTATCTTTCTTCAATGACCACACAGAACAACAAAGCTTTATAAAGGAAATCATCATTGCTGACGTAGCCAAGGCCTCCTGGTGAGGGCCTGGGAGGTATGTCATTATTTCTGGAAAGAAACTATACATCTAATAGAAAAGGAAAACCATTCCAAACACATTAAAACATGGCAGACAGAGCTTAGTATCAGATCTCAAAAACCCTCCAGAAAAGCTTGTAGAAATTGTTAAATTAGTAATATAGTGATATTAAAAGACAGATAGATTATTATAAAGCTATAAAGAGCTGTGGTGGTGCAGTGGTTAGAATGCAGTACTGGAGGCTACCTCTGCTGTAGCATGCACACAGATTAGATTTTCCTTTCTGTTCTGTTTTTGAAGGGAACTGCTATTTTTCCAGACCTGTGTTTTGTTCTGCTTGATTCTGAACAATGGTAGACACCTGAAGAATTCAACCCAAATCACTTTTTAGACAAAGGTGGGAATTTTCAGACTCAAGAAGCATTTATGCCATTTGGCGCAGGTAAATCGAACTATTCAAGGCAGTTTGTGATTTATAGGCAATTTGTAACATTTTCCAGGAAATTTAAAACCACTCTTTTTCTTTTCATTGACTGCCAAAACCTGAAATTATTGTCTCATCTTAATCTCTGTTTCTTCTAGTTTGAGATGTGATTGAATAGGTTTCTTTCCTGAGTGGTTTCAAGGCTGTTGATCTCTGATTTCAGATAACTTAAAACCTTCAATTCTCTCACCGACACTGTTTAACATTTACATGAATGGTAGCACAGAGGCAACACAGAGACGATACCAAGACATACGAGGGCTATCCACAAAATATATTACGTGTTCATCTGTAGCAAGAAGGGGCGGAGCTAGCGTGGCTATCTTTGGTCTGTGCGTCCGCCGCTCAGTCTGCATCTAGTCGTGCTAGTGGGAGGTTTGTATCGTTGCCCGTTATTTCACAGCAAATGTTTGAAATGTGTGCTGCAATTGAAAATCCCGTGAGTTGTGAGGTGCGATCAGTGATAAGGTTTTTGTTAGCAAAAAACCATAAACCGATTGAAATTTTTCGGCAACCGTGTGAAGTGTACGGGGACAACATCATCACTGAAGGTGGAGTGCGCCAATGGTGCATTAATTTTAAAAATGGCCGAACTACGGCACTTGAGAAGTCCTGAATGCTTTCAAGTGGGAGATTTTTCCTCATCCGCCCTACAGTCCCGATCTTGCACCAAGCAACTACCACTTGTTTCCGAGGATGAAGACCTGGCTTGGAACACAGCGCTTTGACGCCTGAGATTTGAGCCAGTCAGTCACGCCCGCCCGCAGTTCCGCGTCATCAAAGCATATATATGGCATATATGTGGCATATATATGGCATATATATGTATACACACACATCCATCCATCCATCCATTTGGATTGCAATGGATGGATAACTGCTACAACTCACATCACAGACTGTATTATAATGGTTTCAATCTTAAGCCAATTATTTACTATTGAAATTTCCATTGTGCTGTAACTACATTAAAAACTTTAAAAAAAAAAACAGCACCACATATTATGGTACATATAGAAATATAGGCATTAGCAGAAACAACAAAAATAAAAAATGGATGCAAAATGGAATCAAAACTTGAAAGAAAGTTAAATAACAACAATGGAAAAAATAATGGAATATGGCTATGTTATGACTGTTGGAATTAGGGGTTGTATAGCGCAGATTATTTCTCACCTCATTCAAAGACAGTTAAAATTTAAAAGGAAAATATCTTCATCTGGTTCAACATAGTTATCTAGGTGATATCATATTGATTGAGATTATTTTATTTTATATACACAGTATATTTAACAATCCAATGGTGTTGGATTGTAGAGAGTTCTCTACGAAAATCATCCTTCATGTTTGAATACTCGTGTCTGAATATAGCTTTGTTCTAGATTCATTTGCCATTCCGATAATGACAACTTGCTAAGTTGTAAGCTGCCAGCCCCATTTTATCTTTATCTAAAAACTTATGAACACCCAGGTATGGGGTCAATAGCAGCTATTCTATTAATTTAAACTTCATGATTTGAATAAAAATTTGAAATATAGTTTATTTTTTTAATGAAGATGATGACGGGGATGATCTGATTTTGTGAACTGAAGCTTTTTTATGAGATTATTTATAGTAAGAGAATTATTATTTATTTATAGTAAGAGAAAACAAAATATATTTGTTGGTAATCTTTACTATAATATCAATTTGTAGTAAAGGACTTTATTTATATCGAATGGTTAACTACAAAAGTCAAAATCCTAAGAAATACATTCATTCAACTTTCTTTACATTGTTGTTATTGTTTTGATTTAGAACATTTTGCAAATCTAGCTGTTTGTAAGAAAATGAGGTAATTCAGTAATAAATGTTTGGGGTCAATGCAGTCAAAGTGTAATTATACCAGAAATGAGAAAGCAGCAGGCACTGCACATTTAAAGAGAAAAATGTTATTTTTCTTTCCACCACTGCCTCTCCTAACTTTCTCTCCAATCACCATTCACATTTGGTGACTTGACAGATAACTTTGTGGAAGTATAGAC